CCCAGGGTCCAGCCTGCACTTCTACCAGCACACATACAGGTAGGGAAACACCCAGCTGCAGTTACATGCACACAGGTTCTTTAACCAGCCCCTGCATAAGAAGGCACAGCTAGGGCACCTCCCAGTTCCAAAGGCACGTACCCTCCTCTGAAGTGTAAACTCAGTTATACTGTCTTGCATTGCACAGAAAACTGTACAGCTAAGATCATCTCACACACACACCAGCTTTCTGCGTTATGATTTCCCCACACACTGGTTTTAGACAAACAAAAACAAGTTTATTAACTACAAAAGATAGATTTTAAGTGATTATAAGGAATTGCAAACAAATCAAAGCAGACTACCTAGCAAATACACAAAACACTACAAAATACAAACTAAGCGTAATGTACTAAAGAGATTGGATATAAATAGCAAATTCTCACTCTAGATGATCCAAGCATGCAGCAGATTCTTAATGGGCAAGCTGCACTAACTTACAGCTTGGAATCCCCAGGTGTTTCATTCACAGGCTAAAAATCCTTTTAGCCCTGGATCCAGCACTTTTCCCAGTTCAGTCTCTCTCTGTTCCTTAGATGTTTTCCAAGAGTCTCTTTGGGTGCGGAGTCAGTGAAGAACCAGGATAATGTCACTGTCCTGCGTTAAATAGCTTTTGCATATGGCCGGAACCCTTTGTTTCAAAGCTTGGTTCCCATGCCAGTCAGTGGAAAAACACTGGTATCTCAAGATGGAGTCCAGCACCAGGTGACCTGGTCACATGTGCTTGTAGTGTCATAGCAGCCATGAGTCAGAGGCTGTTTGTAGAATCCTCAGGAAGCCCCCTCCCCCCCCCCCCCCCTCAGTGGGAGATGAACTTCAAAGGCATTTTTTTTTTCGCCTAATGGCCCTTTAACCTGAATGGGTCCTTCCCAGCCAGCCATCTAGCACATTCTGCCTAGTGGGCATTCCCCAGGTGTAAACACATTTGTAATACAGATATAGAATCAATACTCCTAACTTCATATACAAAAATGATACATGCATACAAATAGGATAACCGTATTCAGTAAATCACAACCTTTTCAATGATACCTCATGTGACTTATCGTGTATAAGATACATTATGATTCTTCGAGTGATTGTTCACGTCCATTACACATTAGGTGCGCGCACCACGTTGCATGGACGTCGGAAACTTTTTCCCTTAGCAGCTCCCGTCGGGCTGGCAGGGGAGCCTCGCCAGAGTGGCGCCTCATGCTGGTGCATATATACCCCTGCCGACCTGACCCCCTTCAGTTCCTTCTTACCATCTGTGGCGTCGTTGGAACAGCTTTCTATCTCTCGTTTGCGAGTGTCCCTTAGCATAGTTTTCAGCAAGTTAACAGTTATCAGTAGTTAGTAGTTAGCACTTCTTCATAATAGATAGTTAAGCTTTCTTTATTTTAGGTTTTGGAAGTTGTCTCCAGCACCAGCCCTGGGCTGCGGGGCATGCCACAGGTCCAAGGCTTTAAGGCTTGTGCCACGTGCCGCAAGCCTATGCCAATTAGCGACCCCCACGACTCGTGTCTCCGTTGCCTGGGGGAATCGCATCAGACAGAACGCTGCAAGATCTGTAAGGCTTTTAAGCCAAGGACTAAGAAAGAAAGACTTTCGCCTCAAGCAGCTACTCATGGAGGCCACGCTGCAACCTTCGGCCTCAGCGCCGACGTCCTCAGTGCGGAGTGCCCTGGCGTCAGTTCGCAGTCTGGCACCGGTGGGGTACTGCAAGCATGCCACACTGAGGCAACAAGAAAAACCCCGGCACCGTTTGACCTCACCAGCACGGTCAAAGGGCCAGCCTACAAGCTGAGGGCGCCCCCTGCATAAGAAGCTGGCACCGCTCAAGCAAACGAGCGCTCAAAAGGGCAGCGTTGCCCCAGGACATGCTCTGGCGCCGAAGAGCCCATTGAACCCCAGGCTAAGCGCCGTGAGTGCGGAGGAAGGGCTGGACGAGCTCCTAGAACAGCCCTCCACACCAGACACCTTTGAGGCGGCAAAGGACCTTATCCAGTTGTCGGCGGCAAGCCCCCTCCCTGCCAAAGAGAAGCCTCCGGCACCATCTCCTAGAGTGCTGTCAAGAGGCAAGCCGGCAGTGGTGCACCAATCGAGGTCACCATCCCAGCACCGCTCTGTGTCGGTCCCGGTCGAGCTCGGCCTCTGCGAATTCCCAGTTGCCCCATACCCAGCAGGACTTGAGGGCATTGGATCC